CTCCTCCCTATCTCAACTCTTGTTGAGAAAGGGTACAAGATTTTCCAAAAATAAGACTCTTCCAAACACCTAGATGGGCAAATTTTATCAAAGTTCACACATACATATGTTTATTTGGAATGCTGTTGGCTGGACTGCCTTTTTATGTAAATATTTTCCTCTGAGAGAATTCATCTGCAAACTGTAGAATTCTTTTCCTTTATTAATCTTCCTTCTCTTTCATTCCACTAGATTCCACTTTGTAGGGGTTCTTCCATCCTTTACACCTTATCACATGGCCATGACCCTAGTGGATGCTCCATCATCTCTTATATGAACTGCAAAGCTCCTTCCTTGCCCTCTTTCTCCTCCCTCCTCCAGTCTAACTACCTCTAATCACTTCCACTAATTTCATTCTGTTGTTCCTTTATTTAAGAAACTCCAATGGGAAAAAAAAAAAAAAAAAGAAGAAACTCCAGTGGTTTCCTGTGAAGCACAGAAAAAAAAAGAAAGTCCCAGCTTCCCTGCCTGCTGATCTGGTCCAGCCGCCGTGCAATCTCACTTACCTCCCACAAGTTGCCAGCATGCTTCCATTGGGTTGACTTTATTCCTCCCTAATTCTTCCCTTTAAGCCTTGTTCACATTCTTTTCCCACTTGCTTTTGCCCATCCAAATCCTATCACCCTTCAATGGCCAGCCAGCTTAAATAATTACCACTGCTTGAGGGCCTTTCTTCACAGTTCTGCACGCACTGATTTCCTTTCTCTGATCTCCTAGAGCGCAAATTGTTTCTATGGCACATGGTGGCTTTTACACATTGCTTTGCTTTGTTGGGTTTTCCTGTGTTAGCTCTGCCTACCCTGAGGCAGGAATCTATTTTTCTTTTTTAAACTTTGCGTTTTCTGTAGCATCTAGCCCAAAGCTAAACATAACAGAGGTTCAATAAGTGGTAGTTACATTGTGGCCCAGCGGATCCATCAAGCCAGGTGACACACCCCTGATAGAACCCGTACAAAGTTCTCATTTTTATTACTGGACTTCCTACCAAATCCTCTCCACATACCTCAAGACTTGCTCTCACCTTCCCCCTACTTGACAAATCTCCTGACCTTCACTGTGGGCAAACTTTCCCTTTCCATCCTAAACTGATTTCCTCCATTTCCCTTCATTGCCCTGACCTAAGTAAAGTCTAGCTCTTTCTTGAACCCACTTCATTTCTCATAAACCTATGCCATGGAGAATCTCCCCTTCTCGTCTCACCTGATTTAAATGATGAAGTAGACTCATCTTCACTTATCACTATTATTTGCTCCTCTTTTGACCCTCTTCTCCTTCCCCATTCGCCAATTTTTTCTAACTTCCATATTACATCAGCAACTAATTTATGATATTCTTCTCCAGTCCAATCTGTCAACTTCAGTAAATACTCATATCATCAGTCCTTCATATTTTCTACTCCCCCTAGCTCTCTGGGCCTGCATCACTTCTCCACAGCAGCAAAGCCAAACCCCAAACACTGACAGGCTTCTGAGGGCTCTATCTTGGGCCCTTGAGCCACTCTAACTAGGAACCACCTTACCTGCCATTTCTCTCAATTCCCCACTACACCTGATTTCTGTTGTGCCTCATTTCACTTAACCAGTACCTTTCACTGCTGCTGCTACTGCTAAGTCACTTCAGTCGTGTCCGACTCTGTGCGACCCCATCCCTGGGATTCTCCAGGCAAGAACATGAGTGGGTTGCCATTTCCTTCTCCAATGCATAAAAGTGAAAAGTGAAAGTGAAGTCGCTCAGTCATGTCTGACTCTTCACGACTCCATGGACCGCAGCCTACCAGGCTCCTCTGTCCATGGGATTTTCCAGGCTAGAGTACTGGAGTGGGGTGCCATTGCCTTCTCCGGTACCTTTCACTATTCCATTTCAAATGCTGCTCCATAAACTAAGCAGACTTGGGGCAGTGGAGTTAAAATACAGACTCCAAGGAATGCTTAATTCAGTACACAGAACATCAATTTTCAATCTTAGCTACACCTAGAAATTTAAAAAAAAAAAAAAAAAGGTGCCTGAGCCCCACTCTCAGAAATTGATCTAGTTGGCCTGCATCTGGGCCTGAGCAATGATGGCTTCAAAAGTTCCCATTCCCCCATGCAGCAGAAGTTGAGAACCAATGAGCAAAAGTGAGATCTAGGAACCTGGACTTCACCAAGCTACCAAGGGATCCTGGTGGTCCGTCGGGTTTGAAACCACTGTGTCAGGCACTTCCTGGCTGGAATGGACGTCCTGCATGCTTAGGAAGTTGTAGGATCAATCACATTAGGGTTGTTTTTTCTGGCACCCTCAATCCCACTCCTGCACCTTTGAAAAAAATTTCTGGGATACAGTCCCAACTCTTCAAGTGTAATCAGGGTCATCATAAACTGGCCTTCTACTTATTTTAGGGAGTTGTCACTCTAAATTATTTCCAAACTCTCATAAAAATGTAATACGGTGATTTTTGGAAAATGTTAGTACTGTAAGGTTACAGTAATTGAGTCAGAAACTCCATCTACAGAGACAGAGCCGTTAACCTGGGACAAAAAATAAGCATCACTAAAATAGCTCAAAGAGATAAGTTATTGATAGCACTCAGCTGCCTAAGCGAACCTCCAGAAGCTGTATTTGATCCACAAGGAGGCTGAAAAAGAACCAAGCAGGCCACAAGCTGTCTTTCTCTGTCCCCCGGTGAGCTTGGACATCATCCAGGCTGCCTGGCTTTCTCGTCCTCAGGAGGATCAAGCGCACAATTTCTTGACTAAGGCTTTTCACTGCTAGCACTCAGAATTCCAGATCTAGAAATCTCTCTTTAACAACTACACACCAAGTGTCTTCATTACTGGCTAAGTTTCTCATCCTCCCCCTTGCTCTCCTAAGTCTTGCTGCAAAACCTGAGAACTTTTCTCGCCTGACGTGACTCAAAACCTCAGTGCTAATGATAAACTCTATCATTTCAAAGAGTCTGAAATTCTGAATGCCATTAAAAAACAAACCTGTCATTAAAACAAACAAAAAACAATGTTACCAACTCTGCTTGTAAGGCATCAGAAACTGCCTTCAAAATCTCAAGTCTTCATTCTTATCCTCTTTTAATTTAACCTATGTTTTTTCAAGGTTTTATTCAAGATCTTAAACTTTTTGAACTCTGTTCTTCTGTCTGTCCAGCAGTACAAGCCCATATTCCTTTATTCACACTTATGAAATCCTCTAAGCTCTTAATACTGAAAGAGCTTATTTGGTAATTAAACATGTCCCTGAACAGAACTTTTTGACAATCCAACCTGAGCTGAACTGATAGGAAGCTACTGATAGACCTTATCTCATTTATTGTGAACAACCCACACTTTTCACTGCAGAGTTATTAGTATACTTAATTATGAAGAACTGGCCAGGACCCCACTGTGGATATTATACATTATATATATATGTATATATATATATATATATATATATACACACACTAAATTAACTTTCTAAAATCCAAAGAACTCTCAATTTCAAAGCCCCAAGGTTTCAGATAATAGTCTGTAGACCTATGTCCACATTTCTCCAAGTTTTTATTCTAAGCCTCACATTTTTCAATTACACATAAATAAATAAGTTTTGGGGAGTGTCCTTACTTGAGGACCTAAACCCATTAACACAACTGTTCCTATAAGCATGCATGCATTCATTGTTTTAAACTGCCTTAGAAATAAACTGCTGAAACACTATTTGCCAGTTAAGAACATCCCAGATAAGCTCGGAAAGCCCAAGAAATCAACAGTAAGAACTGGGTCTATAAGCAGTTGAGTGACAAATTCCTTCAAAGCATTTCCCAAAGTAATTTCTACCTGCAACTCCAATTTACCAATCAACTGTAGTAATTTTTTAAAGTGTCTTTTTATCACTGTCTACACTTTGCTGTGATTGAAGGTATGGGGCTCGTTCTAACAATTTTCAGTTATCACAATCCTTAGACATTTCCCAAAAACCTACTGAATCAAACGTTATTTCTATAACATTTTAAATTAGAGTTAGCTATTTTAGTAAGTTCTTAGTCATTTAAGAGGGAGGTTTTAGGAAATGAATTGCAACCAGGAATAAGGAAAATGTATCATGTTCTCTAAACTTTTACTATTTTTTTCACACAGGCTGCATAAGTCATGCTCTTTAAATGTACTGAAGTTTCAAGAAGTATATAAATATGGGATCAAATTTTAAAAATCTAAAAAATTAGAGGTTAATTTTGTGTGCGCGCTCCAAAGTAAACAATCATAACCACCAGTAAAAGTAGGCAAGAGGGGCTGTCCCATTACATCATCCGGCAATCTGCAGTTTGAAGCCTGAAAGCACTCTCCAAATAATCCTTAAGAAAATCCAGCTGGGAAATCATCCCCGAGAAGCTTTGATCCCTTGAGTTTAAATATAAGGTTAAAAAAGCTTCCCCACCTTACGTCACATGTCTTTACCATATGAAAAAGAAAACCCATCACCGCGGCATCTACCTCCCACTATCCTGACAGCAACCGAAAGGTCACAATTAAGTGGAAACTCGCCTCAGAGCCTGTTCAATCTGAAGGGGGAACGGAAAGAAAAAGCGAAGAAAAGGGGAGAAATCTTCGCTCTCCCAGGGCAGGCAGACAGCTCAGCGGAAAACCCATTCCCGCCTGCCTGACACTTTATCCTCATCCAAGAGACGATGCCGACTCCAAAATGCTGGTCATTTCCTTAGAGAAAGAGGGAAGCCCCCAAACCAGAAAATGACCGAAAACAGCCAGCTGACTCGGCCACCCCGGCATTCCCCGAGGGTGGAAGGTGCAGTTTGAGAAATGATCACGGCTGTCCTCGAGACACAACTCCTCGATTTCAGCCCGAGGAGGGGAAGCCCGAGCGCTTCTCTCCGGGCGGGTCCCGGGCCCCCCGGAGGAGACGCGGGTCTCCGGGCGCCCCTCGCCCCCCTGGCGACCGGCCGTCGGGGCGCCCCACGGCCCCCGCCCGGCACCTACCGCAGGGGCACTGGCGCCCGCCGATACGATGGGCGGCAGCTTCTCACGCTCCGGTTCCTTCCCTTTCTTCTCCTCGGGCGCAGTCGCCGCCACAGCCGGCAGCGCGGCAGGCGAGGGCACCCGATCCGCTTCACTCATGTCGGGCCGGGCGGCTGGAGTGCGAGGCGGCGGCGGCGGCGGCGGCGGCCAGGCTGCTGCTGGGGTTGGCGCTGCTGCCGCCGCGGCCGCGAGAGGGCTCTGGGCCACCGCGTCCAGCCTCCGCCGCCGCTCCGCCCCCGCCCGCGCCCGCGCCCGCGCCGCGCGCGCGCCCGGATGCCCCGCCCCGCCCCCGCGCCCGCCCCCGCTCGCTGGGCCAGCCAGCCCGCGGCTGCCGCCAGCTCCTCGCCTCTGTCGCCCCCTCCCCGCCCCCGGCTCGGCTCACGGCTGGCGGGTCCCGGACGCTGGCCGCTGCCACCCTCGCCAACCCCGGGGGCCTGGAGAGGAGGCGCCGCAGCCGGGCCGCCATGTTGTTTGCCGACCGTCGCCCGAACCGGCGAGGAGGGGGTCGGGACTAGAGGGTCGGTACTCTGGGGGACAAGGCGAAGCCAGCAAAGGTCGCCCGGGGATAGAGCGTTCCCGAATGGCTTCTGTGGGGCGGGGCGAGCGCGGCAGCCTCCTCTGCATGGACGGCCCTGACTTGGGGCGCCTAGACCCACGGGGGGATTTTTCCTCTCCAGCGCCCGCAAAACCGTCGCCTTCGGGCCGCTGCTTGTCCCTGCCACCCCTCCCCGCACGCCCGCTTGCCCCAAGAGCGAGGTCTCGAGCCTGAGCGTCCTAAGGAGACAACCTTCCTTTTCTAGCCGACCGACCCTTTGTAGATGCCCCAAGAGCCCCCACCTACGAGGGAAAAGGCTGAGGCGGGGAGAGGGGAAGTGAGACGCCGTGGGCTCCACCTTCCCCACCGCAGGGCGGGACGGCCAGGCCACACTTTCCATTCCTGTTCTTCCCGTCCCTACTTGGACTGCCAAATCCGCCTCTCCCTTCCCGTCCCCACGCGCCTACATCTCGCTCTCTCCCCGCATCTCTTTGCTGCCTCCTATCCCTTCCTTGTTCGTTTCCTTTTATAAGTTGCAGATGGACAGACCCAAACTCCGCTGCACAATCCTTAATGTCAGATCGTTAATATGGGTGCGAACTTTAAAAGTGAGGAGGACAGCTTTTAATCATGATATTGAACCATCCCCCATCCCCACCCCCGTGACCGAGCCACACAGACATTTCCTTTCCTTTCCGCCCCCTCCTTTTCCTTTTCTCAGTCTGCTGGAGCTGCGGAGACACCTGCTGATCTAAGGGAAAGGAGAAAGTAAGAATGTGCTGCATCGTGTATTAACAACAGGGGATTCTTGACAGTCACATCTCCACATTTCTCGGTAGCGGTTTTGTTATTTTACTTGAGGATGAGTGAATTTTCAAATCATGGATATCCACATCCAAATAACTAAAAATATCTTTGAAGCATCTTTGGGAGGATGTTTGGGTTATCTGTTATTTTATATAATTCAGAATTATTAGCGTAACTGAGTACTAGTTATGGTGCACCATGAAACGAGGTTGCATGTTTTTTCCTTCAAACGCAGAATTTGTAACAAACAGATCTGAAGTAAATCATGTAATGACTATAATAATTAGTATTCAGGATTGCCTTCTATATTATAAATTCCCACTTTCATTTGTGGAAGGGCTTTCTAGTTTTAACATAGTTGCTGTCATCACCTATTTAAATGTTAATTAGCAAAAGGTTTGAAGTGCCATATAGTTGGCAAAAAGTACTTCAGTGCTAATTAGTCTTGGAGGGAAAATGACGCGGACACGCATTATTTTGATGCAGTCTCCTATTTTTCTTGAATTCTTTTTCAGGATTTCCATTTCTTCTCAAACCTATGAGATATTCACCTTATAGGAGGAATATATAATTATTTTCTACTTTTAGCAGGTCATTGTTCTGATCTTTTGATACAGCAGCAACTGAAATATAAATGGAAGGCTTTATTTTAACTGCAGTTCAAGATAGTCTGTGCTGCCAAGCTATATTGATAGAACAAATTGTTGTTCAGTTGCAGGGTCTGACTCTTTGCAACCTTATGGACTTAGGCAGGCCAGACTCCTTGTCCTTCACTATCTCCCAGAGTTTGCTCTAATTCATGTCGATTGAGTCGATGATGCCATCTAACCATCTCATCCTCTATTGTCCCCTTCCGCCCTCAATCTTTCCCAGCATCAGGATCTTTTGATGGTTAGCCAATGAGTCGGCTCTTCTCACCTGGTGGCCAAAGTATTGGAGCTTCAGCTTCAGCATCAGTCCTTCCAGTGAATATTTAGGATTGATTTCCTTTAGGACTGACTGGTTTGATCTCCTTGCAGTCCAAGGGACTCTCAAGAGTCTTCTACAGCACAATTCAAAAGCATCAGTTCTCTTTGGCACTCAGCTTTCTTTATGATCCAACTCTCACATCTATACACGACTACTGGAAAAACCATAGCTTTAACTGTATGGGCCTTTGTTGGCAAAGTGATGTTTCTGTTTTTAAATACACTGTCTAGGTTTGTCATAGCTTTCCTTCCAAGGAGGAAGTGTCTTTTAATTTCATGGCTGCTGATAGAACAAATACTAGGGGAAAATAACAAAATCAGCCCTCCATATCCACAAGCTCAGCCTCTGTGTATCGAAAATACTCGAAATTTTTTTAGGAAGTTCCATAAAGCAAAACTTGAATTTCCCACCAGATGTTTATATAGCATTTACATTGTATTAGGTATTATAAGTAATCTAGAGACAAATTAAAGTACATGGGACCATATGTGTAGGTTAAATGCAAATACTATGCCATTTTACAAGGGACTTGAGGATCCTTGAACTTTGGTATCCACGGAGCTCTGGAAACAATCCCTCTTGGATAGGATGAACAATTGTATCTTTTGCTATCCTTTTAAACTAGATTTAGTAATTTGTGATTAAAATGCTTGGATGAGAAACCAGTTGAATTACAGGCCTTATGCTTTCTCTTTTCATGTGCGAGACTAAATAGAAGTTTGTCTGTACATGTAGTCACATTCAATAGAACAAATGCTTCAATATTGGCAAAACAAGGCAAATCAGAAATTTTAATTTCTGCTACTGTGCCAGAATAGATACTCCACTTCTTAACAAGTATGCTGATTAATTCACCTGGAAGTTGCATTCTCCCCCCCCACTGCAAAAAAAGAGGTAATTCATTGATGTTTTCTTTTACTTCCTGTTAAATACATTGCTCTCAATACACCACCCTATCCTTTCGTCATCTACATGTGCTCCAGAATGGAGAGTGGGAGAGGGTCTGCTGGAATGCTGCAGAATGATGACTCCAGTGGGCTGGAGAAACAGAGTCCTAACTGCCACCAAGACACTTCTGAAGGCCCAACAGGAGTGAGAGGTTGTGGTGTGGGACACACACAGCATTCTGGTTGCTCTGTACTGAAGTGTGGAAAAGATGCTTTTCCATTTTGCCAAGTGTTAAAAAAAAGTGCAACAGTGGTGGCATCCAAGTTCAAACTCGTTAGCACAGGAAAACTTGGGAGTGAAGCAGGAGAAACATTTCACCTTCCTAAGTCCGGATGGAAAACGTGAGCTGATTCATCATACCTGTGGGGTATAGTAGTTTGGGGGTGGGGTGGGGAACTTAGAGAACGGGTTATTTCTGTGAAAGCAAAGACCAAACTACAAGGTAACTAAAAGATCTAAATTATAGGTAAAATTCTATTGTATACAGTGGTACTAATCTAGTGAACAGGAGCAAAGTAAGTTCTGAAAGTTTGGTTCAGTTCAGTCGCACAGTCGTGTCTGACTCTTTGCGACCCCATGGACTACAGCACACCAGGGTTCCCTGTTCATCACTAACTCCCGGAGCTTGCTCAAACTCGTGTCCACTGAGTCAATGATGCAATCCAACCATCTCATTGTCTATTGCCCCCTTCTCCTGACTTCAGTCTTTCCCAGCATCAGGGTTTTTTCCAGTGAGTCAGTTCTTGGCAACAGGTGGCTGAAGTATTGGAGTTTCAGCTTCAACATCAGTCCTTCCAATGAATATTCAGGGTTGAGTTCCTTTAGGATGGACTGGTTTGACCTTGAAGTCCAAGGGACTCTCAAGAATCTTCTCCAACACCACAGTTCAAAAGCATCGATTCTTTGGTGCTCAGCTTTCTTTATAGTCCAACTCTCACATCTATACATGACTGCTGGAAAAACCATAGCTTTTACTAGGTGGACCTTTGTTGGCAAAGTAATGTCTGTGCTTTTTAATATGCTGTCCAGGTTGGTCATAGCTTTTCTTCCCAGGAGCAGTTCAGTTCAGTTCAGTTGCTCAGTCATGTCCGACTCTGTGATCCCATGAATTGCAGCACCCCAGGCCTCCCTGTCCATCACCAACTCCCAGAGTTTACCCAAACTCATGTCCATCAAGTCGGTGATGCCATCCAGCCATCTTATCCTCTGTCGTCCCCTTCTCCTCCTGCCCCCAATCCCTCCCAGCATCAGGGTCTTTTCCAATGAGTCAACTCTTCACATGAGGTGGCCAAAGTACTGGAGTTTCAGCTTCAACATCAGTCCTTCCAATGAACACCCAGGACTGATCTCCTTCAGGATGGACTGGTTGATCTCCTTGCAGTCCAAGGGACTCTCAAGAGTCTTCTCCAACACCACAGTTCAAAAGCATCAATTTTTCAGCGCTCCGCTTTCTTCACAGTCCAACTCTCACATCCATACATGACCACTGAAAAACCATAACCTTGACTAGACGGACCTTTGTTGGCAAAGTAATTATTCTGCTTTTTAATATGCTATCTAGGTTGGTCATAACTTTCCTTCCAAGGAGCAAGCGTCTTTTAATTTCATGGCCGTAGTCACCATCGGCAGTGATTTTGGAGCCTAAGAAAATAAAGTCTGTCACTGATTCCATTGTTTCCCTATCTATTTGCCATGAAGTGACGGGAATGGATGCCATGATCTTTGTGTTTTGAATGCTGAGTTTTAAGTCAAATTTTTCACTCTCCTCTGTCACTGTCATCAAGAGGCTCTTTAGTTGTTTGCTTTCTGCCATAAGGGTGGTGTCATCTGCATATCTGAG